ACCCTAAAGTAAAGCGTAAGAATTTTTATTTGGGATTTTTCGTTAATTACTAATTAAGTAGCATGTTTTGTAAAATGGAACATGTGATTATGTAATTGTAATTTAAAAAAACATCTTTTAAGATCAAACTGGTTTATTCCGATTAGGATGAAAACCAAACTGACAGAAAAACAGGGTCGACGTCCCACGGCGGCCAACTCTCTCTCTTTTTGTATTCGAACCTATGGATCGAACGCCCGAAGTTGTGTGGATGCACGTGTTCGGTGGTGTGCTGTGTGTGCGTGCGCGCGTATGTGTATGTGTGTATAACTATGTACCTCTGTAATTTCGTGTGCTAACTCTTCGTGCAAAATCGGCATTTATTGTTAAAGGAAACTATTTTCCAGACTCTTTTCAATCGTGACATAATTCGACCCTCGTTACACTCCATTCAATAAAGACCTACTTATATCTTAAAACGAGAGCATTATTACCAATTAAAATCAGTCCCGTCATAATAGTCTAAAGGAAGTACAGAGCTAACAACTTAATGGTTCCTCTCTAACCTTTCAGACCATGTAGAGCAAGTCGAAAATATACTACGTTCATGTCATTATGTATCTCACAGCACACTACATCATGAACGATCCATGGATCTTTTCAGTGTAACCATTCAGACTACTACTAATGATGACAATAGTAGTAGTAATGATACAAATATTGATAATAATAATATTAATAGCTACATTTATGTTGTGCATGATTGTATCTAACCAGGGGAATGCTCAATGTGAGCATTCATCGAGGATTAAATTCCTACTAGATACCCATTTACTAGTGGAGATTTACAAGTGGAAATACTCAACTCAATAGAATTTTACTATTGCAAAAGAAAGCAATACGAATCATTTGTCACCCCAATTTTCGCGCTCATACTAATGAACTCTTTCACGCAAATAATGTTTTGAAGATTCATGACTTATTTTCCTATAACTTGGGTATATTTATGTATGTACACTAGAAAAAAAAATCGCCACAAGTTCTCTCAAATATGTTAAACAAAAATTCTGAATTTCATAGTTATCCCACGAGAACAGCAAAATGTTATCACCTACCAAAGCCAAGAACGGTATTTTCCAGCAGGATTTTTACTTTCACTGGCCCAAATATTAGAATGCCCTTCCTGGCACATTAAAAGAAAAAAACCTCATTAAGTGGTTTCAAAAATGCCCTCAAGCACTTTTTGTTGCAAACTAATCAGAATAAGCAATTCCCCTCTCCCTCTCGGTCTCCCTCTACCCCTATCTCCGTCTTCTTTTTCTCTTTCTGCATGTTTTCCCCCTTTTTCTGTCTGTTTTTACTCTCTCATTCTTATTTTCTTCATTTATCATCATGTCATTCTGCTAATGTTTGTGATTTGTTTTTGTCTCGTTTAATTGTTAGTTTTGTATTGTCTGTCATGTTTTTTCGATTCCGTAATTTTTTTCAAAATTAAGTTATAAATGTATAAAGTATAATTATTATTGTGCGAACCTACGTCTAACAAGCTTTGCTTTCAAGTAGGTTCGTTTTTTTTTTCATTTCCTGTAATTTCCTGTAATAATATCTTGTCAAAAGACGTAAGTGCTGTGATGGGGCTCGAACCGCGAACCATGTGATCTACAGTCCGATGACATATTCACTAGACCACGACACCTAATAGAAAAGAATAATAATAATGATAAAGAAGAAGGAAAAGAAAAAAGAATCTAAATTCATACGTATAGTGCCTAATACGAAAGATAAGTCTATAAATTTGTACGGATATTTCTGTTAAGTATCCCGTCATCGAAATTCATTTACAAGATGTGCACGTCATCTATATTCGTTGGGAACTATTTGAACCATATCATAATCGTAATTGGATAAGGCTTTCATTCTTTCAAGACCCCATTGCTCTCCTGGGTATGGAGTGTCAAATGTAGATTAATGTCTTGCCAAAGTAATATGTGATTTTCTATTCATTCATATTTTCTTCTTTCTATAACTCCATTAAATAATTACCATCATTAAATAGTGCTGTCTTTTCATCTTGCATCATACCAAAATCAAAGAAATTAATAAAGGCTGGGAAAGGAAAACGTTAATTATTTCTTTGGTTTTATTTCTGCGTTAAAAAAATAAAAATTCAAACTACAATTATAAAAATCGAACAATAACAATGAATGAAATGTTTGCAAAAGTAATTAAATAGAAAATCAAGTACAAAAATAAACTTATACGAAGCATACAAATGAGATAATAAATATATGGTAAATATTTTCAATAAATTAAAGAGGTCATTTATAACGCAGGAGACCGCCATCATGAGCGGTTAGGCTGGAGATGGATAGCGGCCTCGTTACCCTATATATATATATATATATATATATAACCCCATCTCCTACCCGCACCAACCAAAAGCTGAATTTCTGGCTGAAATTACATGATCATCAGCTCCATTTTATTTTTGTCCAATAATGACATGGTAATTCATTGTGGGATATAACATATTGCGTTTTACATTAAAATCTGTATAAAAAGACATCAAAAGCATGACCTTGAAATATGAAATATTTACATTCAAATCTGTTTAAAATTGGAAAAACATAACATCGACACAATGCACAATATACAGTAAAAAGGCCCTAAGATTAGTACACAGTACCCCCGATCCCTGCACCCCCCCCCCCCGAATATCATCCCAAGCCGGTGTACGCCTAAAGAGACAGAGACGGTGATAAATAACGAGACAAAGATAGGGAGATAGGAAGAGGAAGATCAATATAGAGAGACATGAACTTGAAGAGAGACAGAGAGAGACGGAGAGAAAAGAAAGAGAGGTAGAGAGAAACAGAGAGAAAAGAAAGAGGTAGAGAGAGAAAGGGGAGAGGTGGAAGGGAAGGATCGAGACAGGGGCAGAGAAGGAATCCCAACCCACAGTTCGGGGAAACCCGAATTCAGAGATATTGCACATAGTTCATACACAGGCTATATTTTAAACGTGATGATAGACGTGTAAGCCATTCCAAGTAAAAACAATACATGAACGCATAGGTATGCAGGTATGCAAATCTCCCTCGCATTTAACAGTATTTAATTCATCCAAAATTTTAAAAAAGTGCAACCGCAAACTTTAACATAAACGAAGAACCAATCTTATCGTGAAAAAAGAACAATATTACAGCTAGGTGTATTTTTATTGCTATTATTAAACAAATAAGAACAATTCCGCCCTACTTGTTATGGTGTATTTGCTATAATGATATGTACCCCCCCCCCCCCCTCAAAAAAAAAGGAGAATTGTGAAGGTTAACTAATAGTATACTTTCTCAAACTTACACTTCATGGTTTCGTTAATTATCCAGAGTGTCCCTGAAAGGAGAAAGTTTGTCAGTAAATTTCTTAAGAATTCCAAATAGATTATCAATAATACAACAGAGGTCCTACGTGTGTTCATTGAGCTATCTACGTTCTATATGATGGAGAAATGAGAAGTGTATCGTAATTACGACAGCATTAAAATAAAATCCGCCCTGGATTACCGCGTCACGTCTATCAAATGAGGCTGTTGCTGGATCCTATGGTACGTAAAGGAGGCGATTCGGAGAATCGTATCCAGGATCAGTGACCAAGTCTTTTGTGGACATCTCTATGACTTTTGCTGCGAGTTCTGCCGGTGTCAGGTTGGGATTGTTAGCCAGAAGGATAGCAACAGCACCTACATCATGTAAACAATTACACCAAAATTAGAGTTCAAGTTTAACAGTGCCTATATTTTAAAAACATTGACAAGGGATTGAGTTTGTTTAACATCGCCTTTTTTTTTAAACGAGAGAGAAATTTAGGAGTTTTAAAATGTTTGTCACGCCTATTTTTTAAATATTGACAAAAATCCGGGGTTTCAAATGTTAATCTACACTGTCAAATGGTTAAACTGCACAATTACTCGTAACGAACACAGAACAATCCACATTTCGACAAAGCAATCACATAGCCATGCGATCCTTACGTAATACCTATTCATCAGTATGAATGAATAGATCATCCCCCCTCCCCCCTGATGAATAGTATCAACAGATCGACACCCATGCACATAGCTCCGTTAAGTCTCATTTGACAACGCCCCCTATCGTCAGAGTCCAGCAGCCTATAAACATGTTAGCCTATGGACTTTACCCCCAAAAATCGTTAAAATTCATTTTTTTTTGTTTAAACGAAAAGCACATCCACCCTGACGTACGTTGACACTAGCTCTTTCATTGGAACCCTCATGTCCCATTGACTTTTGAAACTTCACCCACCGTAATTTGATCAAAATAGGTCGCAAGCTCGCCATTGCATAACGCATGTGTCAAGTCCAACTTTGAACGCAAATTTACGACGCGATTATAAGATTATAAGGTCAAGCACACGAAGGATAAGAAGCATGAATTATCATAGATCAGTTCTGCTTGGTGGTCCACTTCAGCCAACCCCCCCCCCCCCCCCCACAGTAATTTTGCCGAGGTAAGCAAAAACATGAATATTCATGACACACCATGGACTATTCGATTATTAACAGAGGGGTGCAATGATGCACCACATCAAACTCCCCTACTTTCAGTCAAGTATTTCATTGTATTATGTAGTTTGGTAGGTTTATTTTACTAACTGTTTAATCATCATATATCAATGGTAGTTTAAAGATATGGAAAAGGTTCTTGTATTTTATATTTAGCAAAGCAATCTCACATACAAAATCACTATCAAGTGTCGTCTGATCCGCCGATTGCCGTCTGCTATATACGTTCTATAGACGGCGAACTAGCTACGTTTGCGCTGGCGAAAACGAGACAACCGGAGCAATATGATCAATAAGTTGAGATTCATTGTAATGTTGTTTGTTTATTTTGTTGGTTGTCTTCTTGTTTTGTTGTTGTTTCATTAAGTGAAAGAGTACTCACCTGTGACGTGGGGACAAGCCATTGATGTACCACTGAATGTTCGTGTCTCCTCTATACCTCCGATATATGCACTTGGGATGTCCACACCAGGGGCAAAGACATCCACACACTCTCCATAGTTGGAGAAATAGGCCCGTTCATCGTCTACAGCTGTAGCCCCGACAGTTATCACCTGCAATAATTAACAGAAGCGATCGATCGAGACCAGATTAATAACTTTAGTCACATTTGTATTTTACAATGTAATTATTAATACCCGTTTATTTCGAGTTATTTATTTCACTTAATCAAAAATAACATAATTGAACATAATGAACAATGGTTATCCTTTTAACTAAACATACAATATAGAAAAATAATGTACATGATAATAGTTATAACAGAGAATACAATCATATAAATCAATCAATAAAGTGGGGTATCTACTAAAAAGCAAAGCTTGTATTATGTAGGTCCCGGTTCATAGGTTTGTGCATAAATAAGGGTATCTGAATTAACATATTTACAAAAGCATATGATAACATGAGGGTTATCTTTAAGTGACACATTTTACTGAACATATCGTAAACAATTGAAAAAAGGAAGAGTACTGTGCTTCCCTTCGCATAAACAAATATATATATATATATATACATTAAATAAAATGATCAGTGCTAATTTTAGCGCTACTTTTGCGGAGGGAAAGAATAATTGCAAGGAAAAAAATTCAGAAAAGAGAACAGGTACGAACATGATAATAGTTATAACAGAGAATACAATCATATAAATCAATCAATAAAGTGGGTATCTACTAAAAGCAAAGCTTGTATTATGTAGGTCCCGGTTCATAGGTTTGTGCATAAATAAGGGTATCTGAATTAACATATTTACAAAAGCATATGATAACATGAGGGTTATCTTTAAGTGACACATTTTACTGAACATATCGTAAACAATTGAAAAAAGGAAGAGTACTGTGCTTCCCTTCGCATAAACAAATATATATATATATATATATACATTAAATAAAATGATCAGTGCTAATTTTAGCGCTACTATTGCGGAGGGAAAGAATAATTGCAAGGAAAAAAATTCAGAAAAGAGAACAGGTACGAAAGGAAAGATGAATAACGGTGCACACGCTCTGCTCCCGGGGAGTATCCCATGGGGTATTCCGGCGTACCTACCGGTTTCCTTAAATACATGGGTAGAGAGAAGTAATGAATGCCTTGCTTATATCAGGACTTTCAGTGCCGTGTCGAAAGTCGAACCAACGACCTACGCATTTCCACTCGACCTCTAAGGAAGGTGTTACGATTGCATGTTCTACAAAAAAAAAACTATTACCAAGATGAATATATGAACACACACGTAAATGTGCATATCCTTTTTTCTTTGTGTACATGTATGGCAAATTAGGGTTTTTTCGGGGGAGGGGCTGGGGCCACTTCTTTCAGTCCCATCCAGCCCCCCCCCCCCCCTTTCCCGTTCACCTTCGCCCGACTAAGATTGGATGGACCCACCTGTTCGACCCCGGCAGGTGAGTATCGGCATGCATCATCATCGGAGTTACCAGCGGCTGCCACTACAGTGATCCCGGCATCGATGATGAGAGACTTCAGGGCATCATCTAATGCATTGTTGCGGCCGCCTCCAAGCGACATGGATGCTACCGCTGGCTTTTGGCCAGATGTCGCCACAAAATCAACACCTGAAGTGAAAATGAGATGATAATAATAAACTTTTAAAAAATAATTTTGTATACAGTCAAATATGTCTCGTTGGCCACCTCTCCATCTCTTCATAAAGGCCGTCTGTCTTTAGTGGCCATGTGTTTTGTCTCATTCAAGAAAGAAACTGTTGTACATTGCGTATACAAAAAAGTGTACCCAACTTTAAAACTTTAAAAATGTATAACCATATATGACCTTGAATCATATTCAAAGGGAAAGCGTAACTTAAACCCTGTGTAATGATACCATATTCATATTTGAGCTGCCACGTATGACTGAGCAGCAGGTTTTTCAAAAAGTATTGTCAAAATCCTCTTGTACCAAGTTTGAGCTAAAGCAATATTATTTACATTGACCGTCAGGCAGTTAAAATGCTTATGACAAGCAAAATGTAGGACATTCTGTTCATTAAATATGATTACAATCTTGACTTCATTCGCATCCCTTGTTTCTTCTCATTAGTGAATAAAATGGATTAAACTGAGCGCCTTATACGTTTTATTCCAGCCAATGCCAATATTGGCTTTGTAATCTTTTTCGTGTTGGTTTATAATACGCACAACCAGCCAGCCCGTGTATTGTTATAATTAATTAATGAACTGTCTCCGTGTTTTTTTAAAGTGGAGCTGAATTGGTATGATCGTATTTTATTTAAATTTTTTTTTACATATTTTGGGGTCTAAAATTACCTTCATAGCAATTTTAAGTTCCTAAACGAAACTAGAAATATCATAACTAAAAATAAGAGCAATCACCATGCACTTTGAAGACATTTGCAGTCTTAAACAGAGCGCTTAGAGACTGTAGAGCGCTTAGAGACTTCTGATAAAGCAAATTCAATTCAATTCAAAAAGAGTTTATTCAGCAAATGATTAGCAGCCAAAGGCTGAATTGCACATTTGTTACATTTAAAGATATACAAAATAAATTATTGAAAATAGATACATACAAACAAAATTGCAAAGTGCACGTTACAAACCAATAGTAAATGTTAAAAGTTTAAAAAGTGATGAGTGGCAGTGGGCATTCTCGTGGTGATGGGCACACATGTCCAGGAGGTGGGCCCTTCCCCTTCAAAAAAATAATTCATCAAACGACCCCCTCCCCCCCCCCTATAACTATAACTAGATCCGATTATTATTATTATTATTATTAAACAAGAACTTATTCGCTATTTGAAATAAACACCCTATGCTCCTTATGCGTGTGATCAATGCCACAGCAGACCAGTGAGCAGAAATGGTTTAGCTATGAGACAAGAAGTTAGTAGGCTGTTCAAAATAATTCATAGATTGAAACAAGGTTCTGTGAAAGCCTAGATACAATGCATAATTCTAAACAATAAAGAACTGAAGCACGAGGCATAATTCAACTTTTACAAGGATTTAAGCCACAGAGGCACATGCATATGACCTGACTCACAGTCGTTCCATCAGTCCAAACTTGGAACAAGGCAATTTGGACAACACCTTTTACAGACCCTGGTGTTCAGACACCCGTGGAAGAAATATCATGAATATCATTGGACAGAAAAAAGGTTACTCATTCTATGAAATAGATTTTGAAGTCATATTGGTCATGACTTTTTAATTAGGAGCTACCGAAGTTGGGTACACTTTTTTGTATACGCACTGTATAACCTCTCTAAGAAGGCTACCTGTCTGCAGTGCCACTGTTTTTCTTCTGTTTCCCATGGGTGATCTTAATAGACAGGTTTGACTGTATAAATATGTGATTTTCGATTTAACATGTTTAATATTCCTATCAGCTTCAAACACGATCAAAATGCCTCGTTAGTCACTTTCTGAAATGTGCGTACATAAACATTATTTCTACGGAGAATTCGATAAGGTATCATTTGAAAATGCCCTTGAGTTCATTTATTTGTGTATTGATATATACACTCACGCGCAAACGCCCCCCCCCCCACACACACACACATATATATATACTGTTAAAGCATGTGTATGCTACTATGCGTGTCAACTAGAAGACCTACGTCCCTGTCAACGTCCTTAAGTCATAACTAACAGTAATGAGGATTAAAGATACCATGTCCCTTTTGCAGCAAACATAAAATTCTGTAGAACTTTGCAGGAATTATGAATATGTCATATATGTCTTATCTGTGAAATTTAAACGTTAGCAGTGTCCTAATATTCAAATTATTCAAGGAAACCCGTTTACTTGCTAGACTTCACTGTCAGACACTAAGGCCAAAGAGATTGCCACGCCAGGTCTCGGGACTGTATGTCGCAGCGGTATACTCACCTCCAAACAGCACCTCTGATGCCTTGCTCATAGATCACGTGATAGACACCATTGATCAGCTCAAATCCAAACATCCCTTTGCAGGATTCATTGTGCTCGGCGATTTTAACAAACTCGATACAGCACAGATCAGTCGAAACTGCAGTCTCAAACAGGTTGTCGACAAGCCAACGAGAGAAAACGCCATATTAGACAAGATTCTAACCAGCTTGGCCAAGTATTACAACAGCCCACAGATAATGTCCCCTGTTGGAATGAGTGACCACAATGCAGTCCTGTGGTCACCGAAACAGCATATTCCGCGCAATTCGAACACAAGTACAAAGCGCGTTGTTCGCCCGATTCGCGACTCGGACACCCGAAGTTTCGGCAGGTGGATTTCTGATCACAACTGGTCAGAGGTCACCGAGGCAAAGTCCACATCGGAAAAGTGTGATGCCTTCTACTCTACCCTAAAGTCATCAGTCGACCGACATTTCCATCTAAAACCGTAAAAGTGCACCATAAAGATAAACCTTGGATCACTTCTGTGATAAAAAAGGAGATCGCAGATCGCCAGAAGTTTTTCAATCAAGGTGAGAATGTCAAGCGTAAACAGAGTAGAAACAAGATTATCCGTAGCATCAATCTCGCAAAGAGGCAATTCTATCATGACCGTGTACTACGCCTCAAACGCGATGATCCGGCGTCGTGGTACCAGAACATCAAGGTGATGACGTCATCATCACGAGCTGACCAAGTCATATTGGTTCCTGGAATCGATCAGACCCAGTCACATTCTATTGCAAATGCTATCAACACCAAATTCGCGAAAGTCGCGAGTGACATCGCCCCTCTTAATCTGGCACAACTTCCGTCGTACCAACCTTGCAAGCAACCACTCAAAGTTCAACCTTGGGAGGTATTTAAAGAGCTTGCTAAAGTTCAGTCCGGAAAATCAAGCGGTCCTGACGGAATCCCTGCAAAAGTTGTAAAGTTGTTTGCCATTGAACTCAGTACGCCATTATGTCAGGTTCTCAACAGCTCATTCGCAGAGCATGTGGTACCGAAACAGTGGAAGAAAGCTATTGTAGCTCCAATACCAAAAGAGCAACCGGCATCTATCGAGAGCCTACGTCCCATAGCGTTGACTGATCACTTCGCCAAAATTGCTGAACATTTCATAGTAAAGAGCCTTCTCGAAGATGTGAACCCCAATCTTGACTCTAAACAGTTTGGTAGTAGATCAGGCATGTCACCAGCCATTGCCTGGTTGATATCATAAATTTTCTAACGAAGAATGCAGATAGGTTAGGGTCTGTTACAACGGTAATTGTTACCGACTTTACAAAAGCTTTCGATAGGGTAGATCATTCAGTAATTATAGCCAACTCTGCGAAATGTGTCCCTCCTCCAGTGTTGTGCCATGGATTGTTGACTTCCTCAGTGACCGCACCCAGTGTGTTAGATATCGTGGTTGTCTGTCAGAATGGACTCCTATCAAAGCTGGAGTCCCCCAAGGAACTAAGCTGGGCCCAGTTCTTTTTCTCATTTTGATCAATGACGCTCTTACATCATCCGGCCTGGCCCACTGGAAATACGTGGATGACATGACAATCGCTGAATCTATCACACGGGGCGCGATCAGTGAGGTACAACCTACACTCGATAATCTGGTGCAGTGGTGTGATGAAAATAACATGCGTCTGAATGTTAAGAAATGTCACACCATGAGGGTGTACTTTGGTAAGACTGACCTACCACCCTTAAGCGTAACACTTGCAGATCACTCCCTGAACCAGGTTAAATCAGTGAAAATACTTGGGGTCACGGTACAATCAGATTTGAAATGGGGAGAACATGTTCAAGAAATGGTGCGTAAAGCAAACAAGAGAATGTATATGTTAAGCGCCTTACTTCCGTTTCGGATCCCAGTCTGTGATTTGTTGACCATTTATACAGGTTTCATTCGCCCCCTTGTTGAGTATGCTACCCCCGTTTGGCACCCAGGTCTTACCTCTTTCCAAACTAGTCAAATTGAGAGAGTGCAAAAACGTGCCCTTCGTTTGATCATGGGTTCAGCTTATTCATCTTACGATGAAGCGCTGGACCACACACGTCTTGAGAAACTCGAAGTTAGAAGGGATCATCTTTGTAAGAAATTTGCCCAGGCCCTCACGAAATCTAGCCACTTCAATAGCTGGTTACCCCTTAGGAGACAACATGAAGGTTCCCGATCACTTAGAAATAAAACCCACTACCAACAAATGCGCTGTAGGACAGAAAGGTACAGAAAAAGCCCCATCCCTTTCTTGATTGACATACTAAACAATACCTCATGAAAAATCAAATAATCATATGATTGCCTTAGATGAATTTGTTTTGTTAAAAACAAATTCATTGATATTATCAAGATTGTGGATATTGGTGAACACTGTTATCGATGAATATAGTTATTAGGGATGATGTTCGGTTTACACATACCTTAGATTTGGATATTGATGAATCTTGACTTTTTATTCACCTCCTTAAATTTTCTCTCTTTTACTATATTACTCTTTCTCTCCTTCTATTATTCCTTCACTCACATACTACCTTTTCTATCTTATTCCTCCCCCTCTCTCTCTCTCTCGCTCTCCCACTTCATATACATATTATGATATACACATCTGCCTTTGCTGTTGTATTGCCTAATTCCTCGCATCCTACATTCTACATATATATATATGATGTTTTAAATGTAAATAATAGCCTAATTGTATCTATTTGGACTCTGTATAGTGTACAAGTATAATTTATCTAATTTCACTTTTAAGTATTATTTTAAGCATACAACCTTTTAAATGGTGAATTGTATTTTAATTTAACAATATTCACATATCAATATATCATGTATTCCTTGTACCTGGTTTGCTCTCTCATCTGACGATGAAGCATTCAAAAACACATACCTAGAGCCTTATTTCTGGCTTTCGTTACTCCTGATTCTTAGTTTTTACATTATGGTATTTTTTCTTCCAACACTAGTTCTTCCTCTCTGACTCCCACCTTTTTTCTCTCCCTTCTTGATTATCTCTCTCCCTCTCTCAACCTGATCATCTATTAATCTATGTGCCTTTATACCATCTGATAATCCTAGCTATTTCGGTTTAAAATGTAAAAGAATATTAGTTGAATATTATTGCGTTACTTATTTTGAATGCAGTTATTATTTTGTGTAATGCTTTTTACAATGTTCATTATAATCTGTTTTTATGTCAAAGATTTGTAAAAAAATCGTGCAATTCAGCCTTTGGGCTGCAATGTGATTTTTTGAATAAATAAACCATTATATATATTGAGTGACTGACTTGGTTTTTTTTGGTAATAACATACATAAAATAGTTATAAAGGGTACATGAGCATTTTTATAGATCAATAACCCACTTCTTATAATGGCCAAAATTAAATTGATTGAATCTTTGCGCAGCACAAAACGTACGACCATTCGGTACAATGGTCTAAAAATCAGACTATTACTTACTGACTTGGTAGCACTTAAGTCGATTCGACAACAATTAGTCGTTACTTTCCCACTTAGACATTTTCAAGCCCCCCCCCCTCATTTTTTTAAAGAAAGTTCTTAATTAGTATTTTCTTTCAAATGCCGTTGGAATTTAATCTTTTCATTTTTTGACCTGCAAAGCGGGGGATAGGGTAGGGGGCAGCCCCCACAAATAAAAGCAAACACAAAAAATGCCTTGTACAATAATGCACGACCGTACAGAGGAATTTTTCCTCTTGAGGACCGGGGAAAATGCAATGAATTATTGATAATTTATTGCACTTCGTTTTTTATTCGTGGGGGGCTGCCCCCTACCCTAGCCCCCGCTGCGTACAGTCATGATTCAATGACAAAGCAATAGCCTCTTAACCGTGAGGCCCCATGACCATAACCGTGTCGATGTGCTATATTAGTGCCCTTTTGCGAGGCATTAATCCTCATTATTGTCAGTTATAAAGGACGCAGGTCCCCTAGTTGATATTAAAAAGCATAGTAGCGTGCACATGCTTTAGCAGTCACGCAAAACAAACGCTCGAAAAATAATATTCAATACGATCTGAGAATGTATACTATTATCTAGATCTATTAGGAATAAATCATTTTCAAAATCATTCCATAAATTTGGGTGAAAAAAAATATTCCACCTTTATGACCAACAGTGTATTTTTGTATTTATATAGATATATGACTACACATTTGAATTACGTACCTGCAACGACCCCGCTCCATGAGCCACTTCCACGACAGTTTAATACCCTTACACCAAACAGATTGACACCTTTGGCCACTCCGTACAGGCTACTCCCTACTGTCCCAGCACAATGGGTTCCATGACCTTGACAGTCAATTCCCTGTGGCAAAAACAATAACCACGGTAATGTCAACCACATCAATCTACCTGGTCGAAAATACACTCGTGATGAGATTTTACATTAAATTCAGGAATCGATCATGAATAATCAAACGAAATCGGGAGCATTCAGAGGCTAATTTGCCACAACAAGCAGGGTAAATAGTATAAATTTATTGACTGCTATGATAGGCATCGCTGTTTCTATAGGCTCATGGGGACGTTACATGCTGCTAGGTCATCGGCAGGATGTAACGTCCCCTAGAACCAGTATAGAAACAGTTATGCTTCAAATATTACAGCAATCCATGCAATCATAAATCTTTTATATACCGAATTCACAAACAGATCTACAAAGAATTCTTATCTCATCCTTTTCTTGAGTAAAGACTGGTTAAAACATCACAGAAAATCTGAGACTGTCTGTAAATGTTTGCTAGAACTGCATTGTATTTTGTATCCGCGCTCACACAAAGAGACTGTTTACACGTTTCTAGAAGGTTCAGTTTCTGCCCTTTCATATGACAACTCAATCAGGAAAAATGAGCAAGGAATGACAAAGTTCTCTTCGTTTAAAGTGATGCTTGCATTTCCATAATTTGATTAAACGAATTCGTTTTCACTGACTGCCTGCCGTAGCAACAAACGGAATTGACAAAAGACTTAACTCCGTTTCGTCGACAATTAGCCGTATACGAAAGACTTCATGCAGAGGAGTGGAGAGTGTGCACTGCAAATCGCAGAGTCGTAATTAGTCCAGTGACTGGGGTAATAATAATACTGTAGCGCTTTGGTCTGATAATTTTATTATTACTATTATTATAATCATTACTATTATTATTATTGTTTGCAGTGGTAGTAGTAGAAGTGTGGATGAGAACACTTACGTAATCCCCTTGACCAACGGAATCAAAGGCAGCCACGGCTCGACCTTCAAAGTAAAGACTATCTGGAGCGATGCCAGTGTCGAGAACATAGACGTTAACGCCTGTGCCATCGCCTATGGGGAGGCGGCCGGAAGAAGACAGGTTGGGAGAAAGAGTTTATAACGGTGCATCAGTTTATTTTTTTATTTTTTTGCCAGGGTTGATATAAGTAAATCGTTACACCACGTTTGTTATATTGGGTAAAACAGAATACATACAAGAAAATTCACTGGTAATATACAATACTTCATTTGAGAAAACCATACCAAAATTGCTGAGAAGTATAACTTATCGAACAACCGACGTAAACATTTTCTTCATAGATGTTTAGTCATTCAGTTCACTGACGCATGTAGGGGCACACATATTCAATATTCAAGATTCAAGATTATTTTATTGGTCCATGTATGCGAACATTACATTGAAATTTAGCTTCCAATTGCTTTTTTGACAGTGAAAATACAAATGATAGAAAATACAATATAACATTTAACAATAGAAAACGATATACATAAATATGGATAATTATTTATAATGTGCACGTGCCCCTCAATTTCATATTGCCTACAATTAACATGAATTAAAATGTCTCATAATATAATATTTCCCGTTAGATCCTCCCCCCCCCCCCATCCTCTAGCTCCCGATCCACAGTCTCCAGTCATCCGTTTAATTGCACTTGATATTCATTGATTTTAAAAACTAACTTTATTTTCATTATTGCTTTGATTCGACAAGGTTATCAAAATTCAAGGCTTGGAAATATTCGAAGTAATGATTATTATAAATTACAAAACGCTTAAATACAGCCCCGGCATAGCACCTAAAGAGCTCTCCGAACGCTGCTGAGATGTGTGAGATCACAGTATGGACATGATTTGCACAAGCAGACGATGTCCCATGACATCTCACATTTTCACTGCCTGTGTTTTCATCTTCTCTTGAGTTCTTTCTCTTACTTCGCTACCGTCAGGCTAAATGTATAATCTATTGCCTCATTCTAAACCCCGCGCATGGTTTTATTTTGATGACAAATGCAGCGATACAAAAATAAAGGAATCTGTCGCTTGTAAACAAAAAAAGACCCCATTGTATATTCAAGCTGCACACTCCGCGGCATGTTCGGCATTTCAAGAGGGAACAAATGCCGTCCTCAATATCATTCCGGGGGGTTTTTAAGTTGAAAGTCTGTTTTCTTTCATTGTTAATTAACCCCTATCCCGTGTATTTACAAGCAAAAGATTTTAGTTATCAGAATCTGGTCATATCCCCTTTTGAATGGTTTGACATGCCATTACATTTATATACACTAAACTCATTATAATTTTACAAATGATAGCTTTGCATTTATGTTCATTCTGTATGGGGTGTCGTCTGCTTGGGCAGTATTGGTCCATATAGTGACGTCATTAAAACATCGTTATTTTTCCGGCAAATCTCTCGTATATCCCAGCTGCTATGAAGGTGGTTGTATTTTTATTTTTATAAATCACCCGATATGTAGTTGAACTAAAACTTGTACGACGGCCATCTGTTAGCTTACCAGTTTCTATTGGTACATATTACTGATTTTCTTTGAATTTCACCTTTAATAGCAGTTACTGAAGTGCAACCAAACGGATAGCTATCGAAAACAGTAACAAATCCAGTAGGAAATATATGATTATGAAGATAGGTTATAAACTTAAATTATTTCTTACTTTCTTGTGACTATCTATGATTGAATTGTGAATTGTTAGTAATTACCTGAAAACTCTGCTCTTCCATTTAAAGGCAACTGTCTCTGGTCAACACGATCTAAGCCCCAGGATGCAACAGCTGATGTACGGACGACGCCATCTTGGGTTATGTACTTTATTTCTTCTCTGGCTAGCAGCTTTAAAAATGGATATATGATTCAGAGGTATTAATACAGCTGATATGAGTGAACCTGGTTACAATAAATCGAGTAACTGTTACTAGATATCGATTTTGTTGAGCACTATGTATTGATAAGGCAAACTCTAAGGTGAATATCATCAAACTTATTGTTTTATCTCTCATCTGACTAGCAGCATAATATATTCAATTAATGGCTTTTAAAGAAGATTACACATTACATATATAAGTGAAGCTCCTTTACAAGAAATCAAATTTATATTATCAAGGGTCATAGTGGTAAAGCAATACGTTTACTATTATGACAACTTATAATTAGGGAAGTATGATAAGAAAATTACTCATGCTTTGATTTCTTCTCGCTTGGATTTTGGTAATGGCCTTTTGTTTAGTTCGCCTCACAACCTACTCGCAAAATTACAAAGATTACAGAATGCTGCTGCTCGTGTCGTGACCCTGTCCAACAAGTACAGTCACATCACACCAGTCCTCAAATCACTCTATTGGTTGCCCGTAGAAAAACGTGTTGTTTTCAAGATTATTTTGCTAATATTTCACTGTATACATGGCTCTGCTCCGCAGTATAACATCGGCTTGATTAAGCATTACTTTCCTTCTAGACAGCTACGTTCTCAAAACTCTGGCTTACTTGTTACTCCTAGGGTTAAAACAAAGTGGGGGGAGCGAACCTTCGCTCATGCTGGGCCTTCGTTATGGAATACTCTCCCTCAATGGGTTAAGAATAGCAGTTCTGCTGAAGTGTTAAAGAACAATCTTAAGAAATATCTGTTTAATTTAGCTTATAATTGATTACTATGGTGGCCCTGAAGGGACATCGCGAATAGACTAAATCGTGAAAAATATGCGATAAAATTCACGATATCGTCAATTTTATCGCATATTTTTCACGAAGAAATTCACGAAATTGACGATATCGTGAACTTTATCGTGAACTTTTCACGATGAAATTGACGTTATCGTGAATTTTATCGTGAAAAGTTCACGATATAAAGTTCACGATATCGTCAATTTTATCGTGTACTCTATCGTGTACTCTATCGTGTACTCTATCGTGTACTCTCCTGACGGGCGCTTCGTAAACAAAACCAGCCCTAGCTGGGGGAGGCAGAGAGAAGGAAAAAAGGGAAAGGGAAAGAGAAGATAAAAGGAAAGAAAGAATAATAAGAAGAAAAGAGGGAAACGGGGGGGGGGGCGAAGGGCTCTTGCCTCCTCCTCACTCCCCCCCCCCCGCCAAAAAATAAATAAGGAGAGAGAGAAGGGAAAGGGAAAGGGAAAGAAAATATAAAAGGAAAGAAAGAAGAGGAAGAAGGAAAGAGGGAAACGGGGGAAGGGCGAAAGGCTCTTACCTCCCCCTCCCCCCTCCCGCCATAAAGGGAAAGAGAAGGGAGAGGGAAAGAAAATATAAAAGGAAAGAAAGAAGAGGAAAAAGAATAAGAAAAGAGGGAAACAGGGGCGAAGGGCTCTTGCCTCCTTTCTTTTCTTTCTTTTCCTTTCTTTCCTATTCTCCCTCTTTTTCGTTTTTCTCTTTCTTTCTTCTCTTTCCCTTTCCTTCTCTCTCTCTCTCTTATTTATTTTTTGGCGGGGGGCGGGGGGACGAGGCAAAAGCCCTTTGCCCCTGTTTCCCTCTTTTCTTCTTCTTCCTCTTCTTTCTTTCCTTTTATCTTCTCTTTCCCTTTCCCTTTCCCTTCTCTCTCTCTCTCTGATTTATTTTTTGGCGGGGGGAGGGGGGGGGGGCAAGAGTCCTTCGCCCTTCCCCCGTTTTCCTCTTTTCTTCTTCTTCCTCTTCTTTCTTTCCTTTTATCTTCTCTTTCCCTTTCCCTTTCCCTTCTCTCTCTCTCTCTCTGATTTATTTTTTGGCGGGGGGGGGGGAGTGAGGAGGAGGCAAGAGCCCTTCGCCCCCCCCCCGTTTCCCTCTTTTCTTCTTATTATTCTTTCTTTCCTTTTATCTTCTCTTTCCCTTTCCCTTTTTTCCTTCTCTCTGTCTCCCCCAGCTAGGGCTGGTTTTGTTTACGAAGCGCCCGTCAGGAGAGTACACGATAGAGTACACGATAGAGTACACGATAAAATTGACGATATCGTGAACTTTATATCGTGAACTTTTCACGATAAAATTCACGATATCGTCAATTTCATCGTGAAAAGTTCACGATAAAGTTCACGATATCGTCAATTTCGTGAATTTCTTCGTGAAAAATATGCGATAAAATTGACGATATCGTGAACTTTATCGCATATTTTTCACGATTTAGTCTATTCGCGATGTCCCTTCAGGGCCACCATAGATTACCATTACCTTTCATGTCTGTACCTTTCCTATCGCACTTTGTATAAATGTATCATGTATGTATTTCATCTTTTGCACAAGCTGCGCCTTGAGCATTTGACTGTCAAGTGGATTTGGCGCCTTATAAATCATATGTATTATTATTATTATTATTATTATTATAAACTTCATAATCTTCTTTTACACAAGATTTATCTCCAGTCGGATCATCACTGTGGTTCGTTATCCCTATAACTGACAGATCTATAAGGGGAAAGAAACGACCCGTCCTCCACGGTCTTTTTTTAACCAAATCGGGCATTTCAAGTACTCAAAAGGTTTGGTTTTTGCTTTTCAGATATTTTACAGCACTAGTACCGAATTATCAGAATATTTGATACGCCCTTAATTCTAAGCACTAGTATTAACTTCATTGACAATATTCAAAAATGCCTTTATTATTGTAGTTGATGTGATGATCATCCCCAGACTTGCCTTTATGGTGCTAAATAGTATCTGCAGCATCGCGTTTCTTACTGTTGTTATCGTAATCACGTTTGCTATTTACCTTTTCGACAGCTCCTTTGGAGAGTTTAGCCGAGAAGCCCTGAATGGCTGTGGTGTACGTATACTCGATATGAGCACCATCGAAGATTCCTGAAACGTCTTCCAAGATCAGTATCTTGATGGGATCAATATCATAACCAGGCTGTGAAGAATGATTAAAATATAAAATCATAAGATTAATAGTCAGTCTCATCTGAGCGATGAGTTTGGTCTCCTGGGCCTTTTGCAATCTCTTTCGAGGGTTCACATTATATAAAACGATCGTCCACAACAAAGAATAACAATGTCGGCAACATTTCAAAACAAACAGCAAAATGAAATGGTAGATTTAAAGAATGAATTGCTGTCAAATTTAAATTCTAAAACAAAAGTCAATGAAAAACGATAAAAGCTTTGACTGGTATTCTAAGATAATGCTTTGATTGTATATGTATAAACGTTATTGTGAACGTTTTAGATATGTGAATTAAAGCTCCCTGGAAGCTAGGGTTAAAACGAAAAGATAAAAATTATGTTGGCAAACCCAGTAGGATATCATAGTCCCAAAATGTACGTCCCTACAAGAATATGAACTGAGCCATTCTTTCTTTTTTTCTAATTATTAATCGGCAGCATTTTGTTTCTCTCACCTGCATCACGATTATGTAGTGGTCATCAATCGACTCTTCTACCGTGTAAAACGTGGCGTTCTTAGCAGTCGCGGCGACCACGAAGGCCGACAATATTACGACGATCAACTTCATCATTCACCTTCCTACCAGCAAAGATACCAGCAAAGATACCAGCAAAGATATCCCGATAAGTTGATATAATAACTTTATTGATTCACTTCTGAGTCTGCTAAAGTTCTGCTTTCCAGTGGCAATAGACTGATGATCCAACAGATATTGGTTTTATACAGAACCCGACAAAAAACTGGCTCATTTCATTTTAGAAATAAATTCTAATCTATGCACTGCCCATATTGTTTGTTCTTGTTTAAAGTGCACACAAAACCCTCAGATTAGGCAGCTGGTACCAGAACACGCCCTAAATACTGGACACAACATTCAATGGGATGATGCCCACATACTATTGAGTTTGAAACGCACTTCTGGTCAAGAATGTTAAAAGAATCCATCTGCATAAAAAGAATTTATCTTTCACTGAATAGGAATTCTTGCTATACATTGCACTGCCCCTATATTTTGTGCACAGAAAGCCCTCAGATTAGGCAGCTGGTACCAGAACACGCCCTAAATACTGGACACAACATTCGATGGGATGATGCCCACATTATTGAGTTTGAAACGCACTTCTGGTCAAGAATGGTAGAAAAATCCATATGCATAAAAAGGATTAATCTTTCACTGAATAGGGATTCTTGCTATACATTGCACTGCCCCTATAATCAAGTTCACTGTCGCAGTCTGAGCATTAGTAGATTAAGGTCATTGCAGAACAAATTGTGAACTACACAAAAAACAAAATACTGGACACGTGCTCGTGAAAGTTATGTAATCATTATCCATGTATGCACAAGCAGTGCACTCCATGGTACACAGGTGGAAGTATAAAGGGGAAACAAAGGTTGTGTAGCACCTCCATCGCCTGTGGCGGATCCAGGGGGGGGGGACGGGGGTCCGCCCCCCCCCCCCCCTGGCAAAAACAAAGAAGGAAAAAAAGGGGAAAGATGTTTTTTTTTTTGTGTGTGTGTGTGTGTGTGTGTGTGTGTGTGTGATAAAGAAAGCAACAACAAAAAAAGTGTTCCTTCGCCTCCCCCAGCCACTGAACGAAATATGATACCACGTAATTTTCTTATTTCCGGGGACAAAAAAAAAAAAAAAAAAAAATTGCTCATCGTACCGTGATTAAATGCCTTAGAACCCGTGAGCTTCCGGGGGCTCTGCCCCCTAGATTTCAGGGCCCAAAACCAGGCACATTGATGCTCATCTGACGGTAATTTAATGCTTAAAACCCCTGAGCTTCTGGGGTCTCGGCCCTCTGGACCTCACGCCAATTAGTTTCCTGCCAGTGTCACAAATGACGTATCAAAATATGCTTATCTGACCGTAACTAAATGCCTAAAACCCCTTGACTTCCGGTGGCCCTGCCCCCTGGACCCCACCTAGGGCCCTTAGGCGGATGGCTGGATGATATTCTGACGGTAATTTAATGCTTAAAACCCCTGAGCTTCTGGGATCTCGGCCCCCTTGACCTCACGCCAATTAGTTTCCTGCCAGTGTCACAAATGAGGTATCAAAATATGCTTATCTGACCGTAACTAAATGCCTAAAACCCCTTGACTTTCATTGGCTCTGCCCCCTGGACCCCACCTAGGGCCCTAAGAAGGGCCCCTGCATGCCTGTCTGACCGTTATAAAATGCCCAAAACCCCTGAACTTCTGGGGGCTCCGACCCTTAGACCCCACGCCAATTAATGACCTGCCAGTGTCACAAATAAGGTATAATAATGCTCATCAGACGTAATTAAATGCCTAAAGCCCTGAGCTTCCAGGGCTCTGCCCCCTGTACCCAACCATCCCTAAGGCGGGTCCCTGGATGCTCATCTTACCGTAATTTATTGCCTAACACCCCTGAGCCTCCGGGGACTCCGCCTCCTGGACCCCACGCCAATTCATGACCTGCCAGTGTCACAAATAAGATACAAAAATATACTGATGTGAAAAAAACCCTGAGCTTCCGGGGGCTCCGCCCCCTAGAATCCCACACCAATCCGTGACCTGCAAGTGTCACAAATAAGGTATGGAATTATGCTAGTCTGACGATAATAAATTTAATGTATGAAACCCCTGAGCTTCTGGGGGCTCCGCCCCTGGAACCAACACTAATTTATTTCCCGCCAGTGTCACAAATAAGGTATCAAAATAATATGCTCATCTGACGATAATTTTATGTATAAAACCCCTGAGCTTTTTGGGGCTCCGCCCCCTGGACCCCACACCAATTTTTGTCCTGCCAGTGTCACAAATTAATTAGGTATCAAAATATGCTCATCTGAGAGTAATTAAATGCCTATACCCCCTGAACTTCTGGGTGCTCCACCCCTTGACCCCCGCCGAAAAACGTTCAGCGGGGCCTGCATGTAAGAGTGGGATGATGGGTATTTTTTTTTTCTAACCCCCCCCCCCCTCAAACGTTTTTGTCACTGCCGTTGTCACCATTACGTACCAAAATTTGGCTCGTATAATTTCAAATTTGCCCCCCCCCCCCTTAAGAAATCCTGGATCCGCGCCTGTCCATTGCTGTAGGATCGAGTGATTATTTAGTGGTACCTCTTCATGTTTTGAAGATCTGTGGACATTCGGGGTCTCTGGTTTATTGTGTGCTCTTTTTTAAAGAGCGCAAAAATAGCATTCAGATTAGGCAGCAAGTAGCAGAACACGCCCTTAATACCTGTAGCCATGTTCAGACGGGATCTTGCTAGTCGGCGTAAGTTAATCCCTGCAGCAGCAAATACCTCATGTATATTTCAATTACACCATTAGTTGTTCACACCCTGTTAAGGCACCCTGACACTTGCACGCTCTTGGTTTGCGCATAATTTGCGCATTGTGTTGTGCCACGTGCTTGCCACAACGGGAAGCGTTCGCGCAACATGCGGGAGGATGAGGGTCAATGCGGGACAAGGCTTGAAATTCGTGGCAGAATTTTCAAAAAAAAATTCAAAATTTTGGCACGACAAATTTGGTGGACGATCGACTTTCGTGAACACTTCGCGTACTATGCGTATCCTATACGTATCCTGACCGGTGTGTGCCAATTAATGCCCGAGTGGCACGCATGTTTACGACCAGTTCACGACGGATTTACGAATAAATTGCTCACACTTTGCGCATCGGATGCGCATACTGCACAGTTGTCACATTTCTTGCGCATGGTCTACGCATGCGCAATACGTGATCAAGAAAGGTTGTCACAAATCATGCTTCATCATGGAATCCAGCATCATGGCATCAAGTACTAGTAGCTCCTCCTCTTCTGAGGCTGAAATGCCTGAAGTTGTAAAGCAGCAGATTGTCGAGGATCACACTAAACCACAGCGTAGTCCGCGCCTATAAGGCGCAACACAAGGGCAAGAAGAGGGGGTCGAAAAAGGGTATCCCAGTCTTCAACTGGACAGATGAGGCTAGACAGATTGTAGCTGACTACATCAAAGAGAAACCATAACTATACGACAAAGGACCCTCCCATGCATCCCACCATCCTGAGCAACTGCAAACTCCAGGCGTTCAATTGAGCTGGCTACATCATCGTTTGAGGTCCTGCAGGAGGCGGAATGACTGTTTTATTAAAACAGAATATGCCTCTTACGTTTGTATGACTTGTTTTGTTTGTGTTTTCCTTTAAAGAGCTACAGTGGGAGTGACCATTTTTTCTTGTTTTCCAGTCTTTAAGGCCCGAATTCACAAAGGAGGTTTGTCGACAAACCTTGGTTTTCGTACGTCATATGACGCGTTTTACGCGTTTTTTACAAACCTGGTTTGTAAAGAACAAAAGGAGCTTTGGCGAAACAAAAGGAGGTTTGAGCTCAAACCTTGGTCTGAGCTCAAACCTTGCTTTGTGAATTCCGACCTTTATGTTTCAGTGTTAACGAATAGTTTATGTGAGGACGAAGTTGTTCATATCATTAAAGACAGTTCGTAAACAAAACAGCCTAAGCATTATTCTATTCAGTGTAGTAAAATTACCAAAATACTAGTACTATGTTCCTAATGAATATTAAAGGCAACATTTGTTTTATTGGAAATACTGTATTAGGATTTACTTTCATCACAGATAATCGCAATCATTGGAGCAATCAAAAAATATGCCCTGGTGAAAATTGCTTGAACACTTAACTGAAATGACAGCGATCTGGTATAAATGAAATGAAATGAAATGAAATGGTTTGTTCTTGTTGTTGAACATTGAATATCATTACAAAAAAGTGTTGAAATGATTCAGTGTTAACGAAAGTTTATGTGAGAACGAAGTTCTTCATATCTTGAAATACAGTTCGTATGAAATTTATGGAATTATTTTGACAATGATTTCTTCCTAATAGATCTAAATAATAGTATTATTCTCATATTTTGTTGAATAATAATTTGCGAGTGTTTGTTTTGCGTGACTGCGAAAGCAAAACCTACGCCCTTAAGTCATAACTGACAGTACTGATGATTAATGCCTCACAAAAGGGCAATAATACAGCTGATCGACACGGTTTTTATCCTGGGGCCTCGCAGTAGCGCTGCCATTGCTTAGCCACTGAATCATGACTGTACGCAGAGGGGGCTAGGGTACGTCGCCGCCCCCATTAATACAAAAAAAAACAAAGAAAATGCAATAAATTATCAATAATTCATTGCATTTTCCCCGTTCCTCAAAAGGAAAAATTCCTCTGTAGGGCTATGCATTATGGTTCAAGGCATGGCCACACAGAAGTTTTTTTTTCTGTTGGGGATTGGGGCAAAATTCATTATGACCAACAGTGTACTAAAGCATTATACTATATTATAAGGCGAATTTCATACGAACTGTATAGTATTGTTGGTGGACATTGAATATTATGTATAGAAAATAAACATGAGAAATTATTAAAATAAAAAAATTGAAAGAAGAGTTGGGGAGAACGTCTAGCTAGGGATAGAAACAAAGGAAGAAGGAGAAGGAGAAGTAGACGTACAAGTAGATAAGGGTAGAAGTAGAATTTGAGGAAGAAGAAGGAGAAGGAGAAGGAGACGAACAAGTAGATATGGGTAGAAGTAGAATTTGAGGAAGAAGAAGGAGAAGGAGAAGGAGACGTACAAGTAGATATGGGTAGAAGTAGAATTTGAGGAAGAAGAAGGAGAAGGAGAAGGAGACGTACAAGTAGATATGGGTAGAAGTAGAATTTGAGGAAGAAGAAGGAGAAGGAGAAGGAGACGTACAAGTAGATATGGGTAGAA